GGGGCGGGTAGTGGGGAAAGACCACGAGGCTGACGGGACGGAGGCAGCCAAGAGGCCTCCCTCCCCGGGCCAGAGTGCTGTGCAGCCAGGGCCGGGGCGCTCAAGCGCTGCTCTCGGGGTCAGCTACTCGGGGTCCGGGGTCTCTGCCCAAAGGCCGGCCGGCCTGACAGCCACTCACCGAATGAGTCCGCAGGGCAGCGATGGTCTTGGAGAGGGCCATGTCCCACAACTCCTCCAGGTAGGCTCTGTCCACCAGGCCCGGCGTCGTATGCAGGACGTGGTCTTCGACGACAAAGAAGCTGCAGAAGAGACAACGAGGAGGGTGGCATGGAGCATGGATCACCTGGCCACGGAGGAGACTCGGCACATCCCTGTTTACAGTGAACGCCTGGCCAACGTCATGGGGGAATGGCGTCGAGAGCCTCCATCCAGAGCTCGTGCTTCAAGGCACAGCGGGAGCTCCTGTGCCAACAGGCTTAGCCACCATCTTTAGTAGGGGGGCAGGGGGGGTAGCCCCACACATCCATCACTACCACAGTGGTTGGGGAAGCCACGGTGAGGAGGAGCCTTCGTGCGGGCACATCAGCCCTGCGGCCTCAAGAGGAGGGGCTGCAAAAGGCTCCTGGCCTCAGGAAGAGGCTTCTCTGTGCCCCCCCCCCCCAGCATGGGGCCTGTTGGCTAAAATCACCCCTGGTTCAGATCTGCAGAGACAGGGACAACTTCCAACCTAGATGCCAGGTGGGGCCTGGAGATCTCCCGGAATCACAACGGCTCCCCAGGCAGCAGAGATCTGTTCCCCTGAGGGAAACGGCTGCTCTGGAGGGTGGACGCGACGGCATCACGTCCCTTCCAAACACCCTCCCCGGGCTCCGCCCTCAAATCTCCAGGAACTGCCCCAGCTGGGGCGGGCAACCCTGCCTCTCGCCAACGCCGGGCCTCTCAAGCAGACTCAAGGGCCTGGCCGGTTTGCCTGGAGGACCCGGAACGCCTTGTCCTCCGGGCCTCTCCACCCCCCCCCCCCAAAAAAATAAGTCTTGTTCAGCTGCAAGAGACTCGCAGACAGGACAGCGGAGTTGGGGAATGGGTCCCAGAGGAAGTTTTTTACCCTCCCCGTGGTCAGCAACCTTTGAGGCTGCGGGATTCACCACCAGAGGGTGTAGCGATGGCCACGCATAGGCACAGACAGCTTTAAAACAGGATCAGACAAATTCACGGAGGAGAGAGAGGTCCATCAGCAACTACTAGCCAACCATGGCTACAGGGAACCTTCACATTCAGGGGCAGTTAGCCTCTGGATCCCAGAGCCAGGAGGCCACATCAGGGAAGGCCTCGACCTCTATGCCTTGCTTGTTGGCCCTCCAGAGGAACTGCCTGGCTGCTGCGTGAGACGGGATGCTGGACAAGAGGGACCCTCCCTGGTCTGACCCAGCAGGGCTCTTCTGGTGTCCTTATCAGGGGAAGGCCTCGGCCTCTCTGCCCTGTTCGTTTGGCCCTCCAGAGAGACTGGCTGGCCCCTGTGTGAGACGGGAGGCTGGACTAGGTGGACCCTACCTGGTCTGACCCAGCAGGGCTCTTCTGAGGTTCTTCTCAGGGGAAGGCCTCGGCCTCTCTGCCCTGTTGCTGGCCCTCCAGAGGAACTGGCTGGCCCCTGCGTGAGACGGGAGGCTGGACTGGAGGGACCCTCCCTGGTCTGACCCAGCAGGGCTCTTCTGGTGTTCTTATCAGGGGAAGGCCTCGGCCTCTCTGTCCTGTTGTTGGCCCTCCAGAGGAACTGCCTGGCCCGTGTGAGACGGGAGGCTGGACTATGTGGACCTTCACTGGTCTGATCCAGCAGGGCTCTTCTGGTGTTCTTATCAGGGGAAGGCCTCGGCCTCTCTGCCCTGTTGTTGGCCCTCCAGGGGAACTGGTTGGCCACTGTGTGAGGCAGGATGCTGGACTGGATGGACCCTCCCTGGTCTGCACCAGCAGGGCTCTTCTTATCTTCTTTACACAAGAAGTGATTAAAATGTGGAACTCACTACCAGAAGATGAGCTGAGTTTCTACTCAGGTCATGGGAGTTTTGGCGTTCCCTCCTGCCAGGGCCTCACTCACTCATATGGCTCTACTGAATCTCAGCCAGGATCTCCTCTAAAACCGTCATGGAAAGCAGAGGCCTGGGCTCCCCGCTCCCCCCCCCGCCAGCACCACCCTGCAAAGCACCCGGGGTCCTAGTGCAGGCCCCAGACGCCAGCACTCGGCCTCTTGCCTCCCCCGGGAGCCCCGCCTCCAAGACCAACAAGTCAGACTGGTGCACTGAAGCCCTCTCAGAAACTAGCTGGGTTGCCAGCTACGGGTTGGGAAATTCCTGGCGATTTGGGGGGGCAGCCTAAGGAGGGAAGGGTTGGGGGACGGGAGGGGCCTCAGGAGGGTCCAAGGCCACAGAGACCACCCTCCAGAACAGCCATTTTCTCCAGGGGGACTGAGCTCTATGGTCTGGAGATCGACTGTAACAGGCGTGGGATCTCCAGGCGCCACCTGGAGGTTGGCCACCCTAGAAACAGGCCCTCCTCCTGCAACTCCTCCCAACCTCGTCAAGAGAAGAATCCGCCTCCTCTTTTGGAAAGGGACATCCCGGGCCCCATCCACAGTCAGGAGACGAAGCCAAAAAAGGTTACTTACCCCACAATCTGGTTGAAATACTTCCGATAGCCGTCCAGCGTTTCGTGCTGGGAAAGAGAAGGGAGGAGCAGAAGATGACCAAGCGGGAAAGAGACCCGGCCAAGGTGGAGCCTCCAGTGGAGCCCCAGATGCTTCCCCCGCCCTTGCCCCGCACGCAAAAGCCCTACCATGTTGGAGGGGGGCTGCAGCACCAGCCGGGCCTGCTTCCGCCTCTGCTTCCGGTAGTAATTCTCAAAGGTCTCTCGGGCCCCCTGCAAAGAGGAGACACGGCCAAGCTCTGGTCATACACTGCTCATCCCAAAGCCAGAGCCCCAGGCCATGACTGAAATCAGCCGGGTCACCACTCTAAACATGAGC